CGTCGCGACGCTTCTCGGTAGCGCCGGGAACTAAAAGTCCGGGTGGCACGACGCGCCAGTATTCAGCCCGCGACGGTCGCGAGCGTTCGCGTACTTTCAGCTTTGCTAGTACATATGTATTTATTTGGGCTTGTTCTGTGCACGTATATAGTATATTAGTATATACACAAACATATATCCGAGTTCGTAAGGATAAATCTCGTAACCGGGGCAAGTGAATTTTTCTCAAGATTCTTTTCGACCACGCATATCGGTGAGGAGACGGAATTGAAGAAACTTTTAACTTGTGATGGGTGAACAAATTTATGTAAAATGTTCCAAAGTTCGAACTTACCGAAGGCAGTTGCTTTGCCGAGTTTCATTTCCTCCTCTGTTCTTCGTATCCTTTTTGTTCCCATAGGCAACAGCCGCATTTCTCTATCTAATGGCCATAAAATGAACTTGGCCGAAAGGAATCGCGTTTTACGTTATTATTATCCTTTTCTCGTTCTTTTCCTTTTCTTTCTTCGCTGCTTTTCTTATTAACCGCGGAAAAATAACAGAAATTTTGGTCCCGATTTCATCTTGCCATTGGAGCACACTTTTTACCCTTTCTACCGACCATGTATTAACATTAATCGAATACCGTGCGATCATTTACCAATATCATAATCTAACAGAGAATTCTTCAATCCCTATCGTTTCCCACTTTGACGCTAACGATTTAACGAAAACTTTCTACAATATATATTCCACGTTTTCCGCTTTTTCGTTTTTGCAGTCTCAAATATGTTTGACATTTAATTAAATACATACATTGTTTTGCCCGAGCATTCTTCGATAGACTATAAGTGTTATCGAATTTGATTCGCGATTGGGATGCGTGCAATTGTAATCGCACGTTTGCGATACCTGTAATTTCTGTAACTATATTTTACTCGACGATAAAGAGAAGGAAAAAGAGAACTGACTCAATTTATTTCCTTGCCGATACCTTGTCGTTCTATTCTGTCTATATGTCGCACGACAGTATGTAAGATGACAGGAAATTGTATAAAGAAAAGACCTCTGTCTTACAATTTACAGTCGTTCGCTTCGTAGTCTCCACTCTGGCATCAATTTTTATTTTCATTTCATTTATCGATATCGAACAACCTAGAGCATACGTGACTTCGGATACGTTACCGCCAGATACACCCTTGCCGTGATTTCATCCTCGTACGAATCTTATTCGACGTTGAATCGTTGCGTTGGGATTGGTAACAGGACCGCCGCTGCGGCTTAACGAGTTCAACGAGTTTTTCTCGGTCGACCGTTCGGTAATTGAGGATCTGGTGGCACACAAAATTCCCACCGATACGATACTTTTATCGACGAATTAATTCGTATTGATTTGCTGTGGTGGAACGAAAAAAAGAAAATAGAAAAAAGAAAAATAAAGAAGAGAACGTTTTTCAGCCATTCGATACTCTGACTTGGATGATACCGACAAGTGTTTCCAAATGAATCGAGAGCACCTAGATTTTGACAAAGTATAAACGTATGCGATTCCTATCTTCGTTCGAATGAACAATTCGTTGCCATTCGCGAGAATTAGTAGTGATTTCGTCCTTATACCAAAGTCGTGAATTTCATCGATCACATACTTTAAAGATAGATACGTATCGTTTAACTAAATAACCTTAACAACTTTCTTGTCGTTCTGTCAACTTCTGTCAAAATCTTTTTCAATTCTAATACAAAGACTCTGTTAAAATATTTATATATACGTATTTATTTGTAGATAGGAAAAGATGAAACTGACTGAAAAGATGAAGCTTCCATGCTTCACTCGATATATACTCTCAAGCGTTTCCGAATAAAACAGATACATAATTAGAAAATCGTCTAATCGTTCTGTTGCATTTCTTTCGTTCGATTCGTTGCGGATTAACGAATTATTAGCAGGAATGCGTTAAAATATACTTATTGAGAACGACTATCGCATTACGCAAAGTACCCATTAGAAGTTCAAATTCTTTAATCTTCTTTAATCTTCTTTAATGCGCGGTATATATAGATTGCGTTAATCGAAGGATATACTCGAACTTAGGGATTGCATTAGAATGCGACTACTATTAGAATATCCACTGCTTGTTAGAAAAATTGAGAAAGTAACAAGAGCTCGATTATTCTTTTAAATTACGTGCTCGTATGATAATAAATAGCTGTTAATATATACGTAGATATATAAAGTACATTTGTATTATAAAAATTGTTAATTGTTTCGTCGTATATATATATATATATATATATATATATATATATATAATTTAAATCTCTATTTTGATAAATATATATATATATAAATACATATATATATATATTTATCAAAATAGAGATTTAAATAATAACGAATAATCTGGCGAATTCAGGGAAATGAATAATATCGATTTAACGCAGGAAGTGAAAATTGTCGAACCGACGCGACGAGCGGAGAATCGCATTCGAATCTAAATCCTTCTTGACGCGAACATCGCTTATAAACGTTTTCAGTAAATAAGTTGTTAGAAGTGATGTTTCTCTCCCTGCTAAATAACCTGGACAACGTTTCCTACCGCGCGACGAGTAAAGTCCCTCTGGGCTGCTGGGCGTATTAGCAAATTCGATTCGGTGCGGTAACTTCCACCGTTCCATCGTTCCACCGGTGTAACACGAATGGAAGGGATAATGCGAACGAAGCACGATGACGTCGACGTTTAATAAAGTTTTTCGCACTCGGGGTTCCGAGTTCCACCGAATTTTATAGATAAACATCACAGGAACCGACAAAAAGTGTTTCTATTTTACACGGTTATACGTATCGTTATACGTTCGCTTAACGTGTTTAATGTTTGTAAGTCCACCTGAAGATGCAGTACAATCCTACTAAAACTTTTTCTATAAATTCAAACGAATTTGATAAAACGTCCGTTTCTTACGATATAAGTTAGAAGATGCTGTTAGTAAAAATCACTGTGGTTTCGATTTTGCATTCGTTCGGTAGTACAACTCACAATGAAGTATAAACTGAAAAGTGTGAATCTTTGGCACTTGGTGACAAATCTTTTCGACGGAAAACCGACTGAGAGGAACTTGTGTTTCTCGAATGAAACTAGTTGCTTTTTAGTTTCAGAGATGCGAAACTTTCCTGAAATCCAGTAAATTCATTGATTCCTCCTTTCCAGCGAATCAAAACCTCTTCTATTCTTGTGCCAAGTTTTAAACTAGTAAAACTCGACCGGATCTAGACGTGAGAAGGCGAACAAGTAAATTCGATTTGATAGCGTAATCCAAACTATAAATCATACAGCTTTTTCCTTGAAATTATTTGTAAAAGAAATGTAAATTGCCAATGAATATAACTCGAGTAAAAGTAAAAAGTGGAGATTAGAATCCAATTATAATTAGTATCCAAGTATTGTTTATCGTTATCATAAGTACGAAGCGTTTTTACAGTTAGCAAAATAGAATTTAGTTTTACATTAAATTGTACATCGAATCTGTAATTCTACGTATACGATTGATACACGGGTTAAGATGTGCGTAGATATGAAAGGAGGCCAGTATAATTCGTTGCGCGAAAATCTCCACTTTTAAGAAAGAAAAGAATAACTTGCCGGAAATACATTTACTTCGTATCAAAATTAACAACATCTCTCTTCAAATTAAATGATTTTCACGCAAATATCGTTGCACGTGTATATCTTTTATTTGCAACAACTTGACGAATAACAACACATTTGCAAAAACTATAGATTCACGTATAATATCATAGATATCTAAGATAAAGAGAAAATGTTTCATAAATGTCAGTGAAAAGTTCAAATATTCTGTATTTTCAGTTTATTACGCGTCGAAAGTTATCGTTTTCTACCGTAACGCATGGAAACTGTCCTCCGTTTATTTCTGTAGTATACATATACATATCTACATAGTTGGATACGTCTTCTTCTGTATTATTTCGCACGTTCGGCAATCCTATTAGCTTTTACCCTATTTTTAACCACAGCTGCCTGTGCATCGTTTTACCTCAAATTAGTCACTCGGAAACTTCGTTTACGATTGTGTCCTTATGTACTATATAGTAAAACTTACTGGTTCTGCGAAAATCATTCAAATATTATAAAATGTACATCATAGGAAGAACGATTATGAAAAGTATAGTAACACAAGAACAATAATAGGGGAATAATTTCGCGATACAAACAGAATATAGCACAACTGTATATTTCAATTCAAACTTCTTCCGTGTAACAATTTCCAATGAACAAGGGCAAGCGTTATTGTTCACATCGAGAAATCTTTCTACATTAACTTAAAAACTAATGGAAAAATATGTACGTATACATGAAAACAACAAAATTCATCGAAATAATCAACAATTTTTTAGAATTGAACATTTATCACATTCGAATTTAATGGAATCTCATAGTACCAATCTATACACTCGAAAAAATGATATTCTTCAATTATATGTTACGTTCGATCACATTGCTGAAATATAATTCTCTCGTGTTATTTATTGTACAATTATATTTGGATGTGGTTTTATTTGTAATATATCATTTGGTGCTCGTACAATTGACACGTCTCAATAAATGCCAGAGATACGTGTTATGTTGTATTATAAACTTAATAACGTTAATATTACGTCGTAATTGATAAATGAATACGAGTGGGTGCTAATACATATGTACATTGTGAATAGAGGATAAATAAGGTTGAAATTCCGTCGAACCAAGATACGCGTGTATATTGAAACGGCGGAAAAAGTGAAATGACGCGGTAAATGTCCTTTAAAGTCGAGTACGAAGTTAGTTGGCAAGGAAGAGCACCGCGAAGGTTCATACAATTAATCACTTAGCAGTTTTATTCAATTATGTCTTGCTGCGGCCCAGAGTGCCAGAACGCGAGTAGGAGGATTTAGGGTGGCTAGCGACAATGGCGTAGGTTGAAAGGAAAGTTGGTAGAAAAGGAAGAAGCAACGGAAGCCTTGCTAGTGGTATTTGATTTGTAAGCGAAAGCATAACACACTGTTAGAGTTACGCTATAAGGTTGCACAGAGAGATACGTGTTCCATGTTCATCAATCATCGACGATAAAATCCATCGAAAAGTCGAGTTGCCTTTTCAATATGCCGTTAGCATATTCGCGTCGTATCCCGTGGTATCGAGAAAGAGGGTCGATAACGAAACAGACAGAAAGCGAAAAGCAGTAGCATGAAACACAGGAAGAGGAAAGTTTTTATCGCAACTGAAATCCCTATGATTAGAAATTCTCCGTATAATTATTACTATTATCTTACAACTGGATAAATTATACGCAATTATATATATATATATATATATATTATTAAATAACAATTTTCTCAATTTCGAGCAGGCTTTCGAACAGAGGAGATTCTGGCCAAAGATTCTTCGGCTCTACCCTCTATTGCTCTGTATTACGGTATACTCGAGTATTTTGATTCTACCGAGTTTGCTCACTCGGTTTGCCAACTTTCTTTCACGATAGTTCTTTCATTCCTATGACTTATTTCCTATCAATACGGTTTTTCCTTCCTCTGATCGAACAAATTTTCGATATGGAATCATGACTGATAAACATCGATATCTGTACGTAACAATTTACATAAACAACCTTTCATCAAAATGTTTTTCACATTATTAAATCTTTTTGAATTTTTCGATACTTGTAATTGGACAACTTGAACAAACACAAAGCGTTTGAATAAGAATCATGTCTTGATAGAAGATGATTGGAAATATCTTTGTTGTTTTATCGACGTAATTGTGGTGTGTACAGTTCTAGCGTAATATATCTGCGAGAATACCGTGATCTTTAAAATTCAAAAGCATTCAATACCTTTTCTCGACGCCGGATAAACTGCTGCGATCGCATTCGTGGAAAAAAGTCAGAGCGTTTTGAAATAACCGATATCCTTGTCGAATCAGTCATAACGGCGCAATAATTTCGTCATCTCTCCGCATTTAATTCCAATAGACTTTCGTCCATTGAGTTACGTCATGTGTTTGGCGCATTAATCGTACAAGAAAGTTATGCTGTTTACATATTACCGGCCGTACGAATATACGTATTTATCAATTAAATATATTTGTTTCATAACTTATACACAAGCTGTCGTTAAAGTGTTGTAATAGAGATCATTCGAAAGAGCTTTTCTTTTGAATCTTGGTTGATACGTTTTTACGTTATACATACGTTATACATGCCATGTATGTAGTCCTTTTACACAATACTATAAGTAATTTTGTTAGTTATTATGTAATATATAAGTAAATTCGGAGTGTTACATGGTGTGATTTTCGCATCAAGTAATCTTTTTCGAACGTCGAATTTATACAAAGCATATTTCGTTTCGTAGTGTATTATTTTGAATTAAGGTACACAGTGACCATGTATGCTTCACGAATAAATTGTTGCATCGTATTCGTATACTGCTTTAATATTTAGCAAGATTGTTGTAATATTAGTAAATGTTAAATATCGTTTTGATAAAAATCTAATTATAATTTTGTTTATCCAAGTCTGATATGTGACGTTACTTACATTCCAGAATGCAGAAACAGAGTATGTCGAGGAGAGTTTCCCGAAGAATCGCGCGAAAGTGAGAATCGCGACGGGTGACTACTTAAAAATACCGATTGTTTATTAGTGGGGAATTCTAGAAATAGCACAGTAAAAGAAGAAACGAAAACAGTGTAGCGGAAATCTTACGAAACGTGAAGGGCGGGTGATATGAGTGAATATAGGATCTTTCGTGACGTTAAATGATCGAGTTACGGCCTGGTCGAAACAAACCCCGTCGATTAACCGGCACGCGATACGTCGGAAACACGATTAAAACATAGTGCGTCCTTCTCTTTTGCGCAAAGAAACCGACAGATTCGTGAGCTCGCGTGGAAAGTGAAACAACGTTGGATACAGGGGAAAGAAGCAAACGGGGTGTGTTCAAGAAGAGAAGTGAAAAAAAGGAAAAATAATGTGGTGTCACGTCCTCGCCACCGTCGTCGCTTTTTTGTGTGTTGTCTACGCTCAAGGTTAGTCTGATTTTCATTCATATTTTTATACATATTTTCATTTCAATTTCGAATCTGCCATTGCCTTCTACGGTCAAGGTGTAACAATGGGACGTTCGTTGTCAAAAGATATAGAGCATACACACGTACATTTATTTTTACGAATATGTAACAGACAAATGGTCAAGGATTTGTGATTTCCCTATTTAACAGAATCTTGCAGCTGTACCTTGTAACGGATGAACTCTTGAACAGATGATGTGACCCATGCGACCATATTACCTGCGTGATTAGTTCGTACGAATCAAGTACCCTCATTTTCATCCAAGATCGCATCACGTTTCTGGAAATCACCGATCAAAATTTCAAAGTATCTTCAGCCTTGCGTACACGTATACAGGCTTCGCTCCACAAAAGTCTGTATTCGATGAAACTACATATACGAGTACGTATCGCGTGCGTATTCATGACGAAAAGGTAAAAGCATCTATGGTTAGAAATCAGAAAAGAATTTCCAAGTCCGATCGATACGCTTCGAGATCCTTTGAGAAAGTTACCTCTGAACTCTGAATCTACATATATTCATACGTTGAACTCGAGCTTGTAAAAGTGTTAAAATGTCGCGTTATTATGTTATCTACGGTCAACGAATTTTACTTTTTCGTACAAAATTCAATATATAACCTATACGCATAATCTAGCAAATATAAACGAAACGAGTTTTTTCCTAAATTATTCTGTATATACAGGTTTCTTTCACCTCCTTTCGTCTAAAGATCCGAGCATTATCTCTGTATCTTATCTTTACACATATATTATTAAGCCATTTATATGATGAATCAGTAGTTGCAAAATAATGCCAACTTCATGTTTCTTTTACTAGGCTGTGTATTAGCGCACCTAGGCATATTGTTTTATATACGTATCATACATATTTTACTATCGTATTTTACCACGTTTGTAAACATAGATTAGGTTCATACAAATTGTTAAGAATTTTAAAACTATCGATAACCATATACGAGTTCTCGCATATCTTGCAACTTTTAAACAGGCGTTAAATTTCACAATAAATTACCAATGACAGAAAGAAATTCTAGTTTTAGGTAAATATGAATATATTTTGAGTTAATTGTATGTATATAAAATATCATATAAATATAATATAGAACATCAAACTTCAATAGAAATTAGAAAATGAATGTCTCTCTGAAACTTGCTTTGTAATAAAATAGGTCCAATAATACTTTTGTAATAAAGTAGGGCGCAATAACGAAGAATTAAACGAGTTGATGAAAACCTTATCTACTTTCAAGTGAGAGTCAGCCGTGATACAGATCTTTCGTTGTATCTGCCCACCATACGATACGAAACGTATACAGATATGTTTCATAAAAATATTTCTTTTTAAAATGCTTCTCGCTCCGTCGCATCGTGCCGATCTAAAACACACACACACACACACACACACACACACACACACACACACATCGTCGTTCCGTTGTTTTATAATTTACTTTCACTTATGTTTTTAGATATATACGTTGTCGTAGTAGATATATGTAGTTACAAACTGTTGCACGTAATAAAGAAGGAGTGTAATTCAATGGGATTTATGAAAATCAAAACGATGCTATTTGTTCCGAAAAGTAATATTCGCGTTTCTCGTGCATTTTAATGCTACTCTTCCGACCGGAAAAACAAAAGGACTGAATCTCCATAAATAAATATTAATAATGTTTATTACGAAAAGCGCAATTGGATTTACAAAAAAAAAAAAAAAGAAAAGAAAAGAATTTCTTTATGCAATAAATAACGGTGATTCAACTGCTTATATTTTATACGCGAATGTAGGTGCGTATTAGTGATACTCACTTAAATGAGATAAAATAAAAAAGAAGATGGATATTATCCGAGACATGTCGAGCAATAATAAACTTTCATTAACTACAATACTATATTTTTCGATTGGCCGTCCTCCTTTCGTAATTTTTTTATTAGCAAGGTTTCTTATACACTACTCGAGTGGGTATACTAAATCGGTAATGCCTCGGAAAATGCAATTCAAAGGGTCACAAAATCTCCACCAATTCTTACGATCGAAATCGCTATCAAATCACACAGCAGTGTAAGATATTATAAGGTGGGAGTGAGAATCGACGAGACGCCATTTGAATCGATGAAAGACGAAACTTTTACAATTTTTGCTTCGTTATACTATAAGTACAAATATCGCCATTTTGATTAAAACAAATCAACACACGATGCAATCAGACCATCTTTTAGGCGATAATAAATTGATAGATACAATAAAATATAACAGCCCAAGCCGGTATAAGATGTATTTTATATATAGTATGTACATACATGTATACAAATAGATATTATGAATTTCTCGAGTTTCGTCATTTTGTTTGCACTGGCAAAAACTATTCCCAAACACTATTCACATTTCGCGACAAGTACGTGCTTATTATACGTGCGTATCGATACATACGACATTCGTAGATCGTATTGTAAAGTCAAGGATTTTGTCACGCCTATTCTTCGACTTGTTTTAACGCAAGCGGAGACGCAACCCTAGGCTGTTGCTGTTGTGCGTCGCGAGACCCTTACGTGCAATCGAATCGAGGTCGCACGCGTGTTTGCGTCGACGAGTGCATGCGAATTTGTACATACGCACGCACTCACACTGTAGTCACAAGCATCGAGGCGTGGTCGGCGAATTATGTGCTACGTGTAGGGACACGTACGTAGGGAGTTGTGGCGTTACTGCGTCACCGACCTTTACTCGTGCACCCTCTGTTTCTTTCGTCCACCCCAATGGATCGTGCAGTTTACGGTTCCCATACGGCCGTGGATAGATTCACCCGTAGCTTCGTACACTACGTACATACGTGAAAACAGCTTTTGCTGAAACTGTCGAGAGCTTTGCGATGCTTCCTCGGGCTGATGACGAGGCTTTGAACAATACTGCAACATTCGAGGTTGCATTCTGTTTTTTATCTCCTCTCTTTCGTTTCCTTTTACTCGTATAATATGCCCAAAAAGAGTAAAATTTCACCTAGCGTTTGATAATTTTCGAAATTTTGTATCACACGCGACGCAACGGCAAATATGCTGGTGAAAATAGACGAATTTCCAAGTTTGACAAAGTTTAATATCACCCTGTAATATTTAAAAGTCTCCGCAATTAGTACTGATAGTGTTTAGCAAAATGAAACGATATATAACATGACAGTAGTGATTCGTCACATTTTGTGTAATTGCTGATTGTAATTGCTGATTTTATTAAGAAGTGATTAGGTCGTTGCAATTATAAATGGAACATCGAGATAACGAACGTAATCTACGCTAAAATGTCGAAAGTTTAGTTTTGGAAACGGTTTTGGCGTGTTTTATTGTAGCTGTTTTTTTTTTTTTTTTTTTTTTTTTTATTTTTTTTTTTTTTTTTGGCTGCAAGCAAACACGAAATTTATCGATTCGATAGTACGAATTTTTCGAATCGATCAAATTCATTTTTATGCTGCTCTTCCGGTGAATGGATTAAAGTAATGTATTTATAGTATTGTTTCAGATTTATCGTTTCGAATTTTCCCTATTTCCTTTTTTATTTTTTGAAGTTTGAAAGGGGAATCTTAGCTACATTCGTGGAAAAGCAATTTTCATATACAAGCAGAATTTTCTGTGGTTTCCTTAAACTTCGCAATAGTAAACAAAATTTCGTTAATTGGATTGCCACAGAAACAAGATGTTTTTTCAATGGTGGAGTACATAACTGGAATTCGAGCGTTAAATGGTAGATTCCTGGAAACTCGAATTTAAATTTTTTGCAAGGGAGAAATTCTTTCCAACTTTTCTCCTACCTGAAATGTACACAATTCTGTATACTGTACCAATCTAGAGTTTACGATTCTCAATTCTCCATTCTAATGTGGACAAAAACCAATCTCCGGTTCTACGGGCTATGGTCATGTTTTTGGAAAAGTAGACACGCACACGTTCGCTAGTGTGCACGAAGTGTACGAGTCAGTGGGACGTATGAGATTGCTAGCAGCGTTAGAACATTTTTGTATCGATGCTTTTAACGTTTGTGTCATTTTACTTTGAGAACAAGTTGTGCGCATCGCATTCACGCTTCGAAGTGGAATGCATTGCGCTCAATGTACGCAAGCATTGTTTACTAAAATTGACATTTAGCATGATACCGTTATAATAGTACCGTTATATCTTTGTGTCTTTTCCGTTTAAACGTAAATTTGTACGAGACGAAACTAGAATCGTGTTGATTTCGAAGCATTTGATATTTGCATATTCCCCGATAGAATATATTTGCTATGGTAATTCATAAATTTTCAGCCATTACGCTATCTACTATACTATAATATAATATAATTCTATTTGATGACTTCACTCATCACGATATACATCTGTCGATCGATATAACGAATTTAATTAATTCGGTTGACGCGCAGCGATCTTAATCGATCGCCATATGTTCTTACTGTCAGCTGACGTTGAATTCATGCGTTTCCGTCGCTAGATAATGTCAGTTATCGATTCATTTTAACGAATACCTTGATAATGCCCTCTTTCTACTTAAATCGTTAATTTAATATCTTATGTACAATCGATTATTTATTTTAATTGTATAAAATAAATAAATAAAACAGATTTAATTCCTTTATGCTCGGATTAGCACAAACGATGTAATAATAAAATCTGACCAAATATTTAATTCAAATTTTAATACCTTCGGTATAAAAATAAGTAATTTGGTCGATAGTGTTACTTGTACATACATATACATATGATACATTTGCCATAATATTTAATTACTACAAGTAAATAGTCTTGTGCCATTTTCATGGCTAGATAGCGATTAAACGCAGAATCAAATCACATTATTATCGACGATCTGTGTTGAAACTAGCTATAGCGTAATATATTTCGAATATAAAATGTACAATTTAAAGCAATACAATGGAAAGAATGTGACCGGAATTTTCATACATACAGTT